GATATAGTTTTTTATTTTACAACCATTACTATTGAATTATTATTCCCTATCTCAACGTTAACCAAGTATTCGTTTAACAACAACTATTAACATGCCTTGTATTGGTGTGTTTGTGCAAAAATGAATCATATTCAAATAATTAATTAACAAGAAAGGATATGCAATGCTTTTTGCTCATAATACTCAAGGAATTATATGCATTTCCCCGTCTCAACAAAGACTTTAAACCACTTCTCAATTATTGTTTACCCTCATGAATCACGATGTAATGAATTCACTCTCGCTTGAACAGAAAAAAATCATAGAAATAAACTACAAACGCGCGATGAACAACGAAATTTCACCAAATGATTTTTTTGAGGAGTGTAAGCGTATTCTAGGGCCTGTAAAGTTTTCTCATCTTTTTCCGACGCATGTTCCCCAATACATGTTGTACACACCATTTCCACACGAGATACGCCACTATCAACACGCAGAAAAAGAACGAGAATCTGAGCCTGAGGAACAACAGCAAAAGGAGATAAAGACTGAGCGTTTGCAAGATATTATCGAATACGCTGGCGTTAATTTGAAGGAAGAGCAAGAAAATATAGGACGAGAGAACATGATTGATCAGGAACTGGAGATAAATGAGGAGGATAGAAGAAATTCCTTGGACTATCTGTTTGATGTCGAAGTTTTTGTTCAGTATGTAAATTTTATTGCGCGTAAAAGGGGAATGGAGGTAGATGACAGTGCGTACCATGCAATGTTCTTAGCATTGAAACGAAAATTGACAGATATGATAGAAAAAATGGTCAAGGCCTGTGAGTTCCGGGTCGATTACATAAAAAGTGAAGTTGTTACAAAGATAGAGAACGATATAAGAAGACAGCTTTGGGTTCTTGAAGAACAGGAAAGAAAGGAAATGGACAAAACGTTGTGCAAGAAGGGAGGAGATGACGATGATTCACAAAAAAAGAAGTTAAAGAAAAACGTGCAAGAAAGAGAGGACCTGATAATTAAGAAACGGCTCTCCAACTCGGTTGCGCTCGCAGCCCTGGGAATTCAAAGGAAGTCTTGGATGACCATGGACGAAGCAGTTGGAAAGCCTGAAAAGAAATCGCAGTTTCAGTCTTTGTACTCACCATACAATGAAAAGGAGATGGAAAAGAAGATTATCAATAGGAAAGTTATTTTGGACGATTTTATTTATGTTTTGGAAAGGGACAAGCGATATAACAAATCAGTTTTTACTATCAAAGAGTATTTCAAAAAGTAAAAATCGGTTATATATTACAGTTGTGCATGGAACAATCTTTTGGTATGTTTTTGTCTTGTTTTGCGCATCTTTGTTCCCCTTTGGGTTTTTGATTCTTTTTTTTGAGACAGCATGTTTTCTCATCAAACCTATGATTTGAAAAGTACCTATGTGTAATTTAATGTGGTGAAAGTGAATAAAAAACATTTTCAGGGAAACATTGCCGCTTTTTCCGGTGCTACATTAAATACACGATATTAAATAATTTTTTTACTAAAAGTAGTTTAATTATTACTTCACACAACAACATCTGATCAAACACATTCTTCTGGTCAACTGGGACTAACCATGGTCACAGGCCTTTGGTTCATATAATATTTAAGTAATTTACGAAACGGCTCCTTACCGGTTATGTAAAATAATTTGGCTGTACCAATTCCATCGTAATGCACCGGATCGTTTTATTTGCATGTTTTGGACGTTTTGATTGAATTTTTTGGCGGTCTGATCTCTTTTATTTGCTCATCAAAAATTTGTTAAATAAATTTTAATACTTTTCATCCTTTTAAAAATGTCCTTCAGCCTGGAATTTCTCTCAACAAGAAGCGGGAAGGCTTTGCTTTTGAAGCAGGAGACCAAACATTATCTCTTTGGGTATTACGAAGGCTTTCAGAGGCACTCGATTGAACGGAATATTAGGCTGCCAAAAATTACAAACGTTTACCTATTTGAGGACCATCAGGTAATTCCTTTGTTGGGTTTCTGCTTAACGGTTGCCGATATGGGGAGAGAGGCGCTGTGGGTGTATGGAACGGAAAAGGTCAAAAAAATTTTTCAGAATGCCTGCAGCTTTGCAAGACGCAGTAAACTTAAAATGACGTTCTCGAATAATAACACAGAGGTTATACCGATTGAAACCTCGAACGGAATGAATTATGTGATACAATTACCTAAAATTAAAGGTCGACTAGACATTGACAAGCTTGACCGAGATTTTCCTGTAAAACTTAGAAAAGATCTCAAGGATAGGAAAAAAGTTCTTTTTAATGGTATTGAGTACGATGGGAATAACTATATGGAAGAAGACACAGAAATTGGCGATATTTGCATTTTGTATACGATTACAAACGAGGAAGAGTGCTTGGCGCAGCTCAAGCAATTTAACATAAAACTGTTCGTATGTATGAATAGGGACTGTCTTGTACTAAAGAAGCACTACGAGAACGGCCATTTCGTACTATTTGAGGAGAACAACGAAATCGAGTACAAGTCGTTCTTCGAACTGCAGAAAAAGTTGAACAAAATTGACGCTAATTTTTTGTTACCTAAGAAAAGCGTCACAAAAATTGATGCCGTATCGGCCGAAAATGCATCAAATGGCGACAGAAAAATGATTTATGGTTTAACGGACTCACATAACATAAATTTTACAAAAAAACAACCTTTTGTGTTTCATGAAGATGAAAAATGGATTGAACAGATTATTTTTCTTGGTACAGGAAGCGCAATCCCATCAAAATACAGAAACGTGTCTTCAATCATCTACGAGGAGGACAATTGCGCGTATTTACTGGATTGTGGTGAAGACACCCTTTCTCAAATCGACCGTGTGTACGGCGATTTACGCATTCTAGAAAAGCTAAAATTGATTTTTATATCTCATTCACATGCCGATCACCATCTTGGTCTCTACTTTGTTCTCAAAAAAATTCAGCACAAGGTTGTAGTCCTTTGCCCACAAAAGGTCAAAAATTTTTTAAATCTCTTTGATCTTGATGCCACTTTTTTCGTAACAGACAAAAATAAAAAAGCCGAAATCACTTATTTATCGTTTAATTTAAATGATAAAGCCATTAAAGTATCGATTTGCCCGGTTGACCATATCGGTGACAGTTATGGTATCAAATTGCAAGCCGCCCATTCAATTGCATATTCTGGAGATTGTCGTCCATCTTTTATGTTTGCAGAGATGGCCAAAAAAAGCCGATGTAATGATACACGAGGCCACATTTACGGATGATTATGAAGATAACGCGCTTAAAACAAAACATTCAACAGTAAACGGCGCTGTTGATATTTTCAATAAGTCAGGAGCGTGTACTCTTATACTTACGCATTTTAGCCAACGGTTCCCTAAGAATGTCCCATCAAAACTTCGTGTATTCTACGCGTTTGATCTTTTCAGGTACAATTTTAAAAATAAGTATAATGAACGTGTGCGAGAGTATTTAAAAAGCCTTGATGAACAGTAATTTTGTTAAAATATGCAAATTTTATGGTACTTGTACTTAAAATAACTACATCGTGTTTTGCTTGCTTATCAAACCAAGTATTAAACATAAATTAATGAAACTACGTTGTAATAACGTAATTGCCGTGTTGAGAGGTTGAAAAATTAAAAACTTAATTATTTACGTTATATTATATAGCAATACCATACCAAGTCGTATTTATTATTTTATTTTTATTAGCCAAAGGTGTAA